AAAAAATTCTAATTTTAATTTGTTGGACCACAGGACACTTTTCCACTTCCCCTCAGTCCATTTTAAAAGAGCTCAGGCCCAGAGAAGGCGGCAGCATTTCTGGATCCTGTTTATATTTGGTTTCTTCTTTGTGTTTTAGAGTTTTAACTTGCATTTGTGGATGCAGTGATGAACTGTTTTCACAGACAGTGTTTTTCAGAAGTGTTTCTGAGCCCATGCAGTGATTTCCACTACAGAATCATGTCTGTTTTTAATGCAGTGCTGCCTGAGAGCCCAAAGATCACGGCCAGCAAATACTGGTTTTTGTCCTTGTCCCTCGCATACAGAGATTTCTCCAGATTCTCTGAGTCTTTTAATGTTATTATGTACCGTAGATGAGGAAAAGCAGAAGTTCTTTGCTATTTTGTGTTGAGAATCGTTATTCTTGAATTGTTGCACTATTTGATCATGCAGTCTTTCACAGAGTGGTGAACCCTCCTCATCTTTACTGCTGAAAGACTCCGCCTCTCTGAGATGCTCTTTTATGCCCAATCATGTTACTGACCAGTTGTCAATCAACCACCAGGTGTTTATTTATTTATTTATTTATTTATTTATTTATTTCAGCATTACACAACTTTACCAGCCTTTTGTTGCCCTCGTTCCAACTTTTTGGGAATGTGTTGTTGGCATCAAATTCAAAATGGGCAAATATTTTTCAAAAAACAACATTTTTCAACATTTGATATGTTGTCTTTGTACTATTTTCAGTGAAATATAGGGTTTAAATGATTTGCACATCAATGCATTTTGTTTTTATTTACATTTTCCCCAGCGTCCCAACTTTTTTGGAAATGGGGTTGTATATAGTAGCTACTAGAACAGGGTTTTTTAACCTTTTCCATCCCAAGGCCCACCTGTTCATGCAAACAAAGCATAGCGGCCCACAGGAAAGATAAAATCAACTTTTTAAATGCATTTTTCGTTTTCTTTTCTTAAAAGCTGACCGACTGAAAAAGATCCAACCGAAGCTGCAGTCCATTATGTTTTCACTGATAATACCCAACTGGCTTTGCCACCGGAGTTAATGTCTGGTCCTGGGTTTTCTCTCTAGTTTTGAAGGTTTTTGTGATTCATTTTTAATAGCCTCACTCCTGTCACTGGGCTTTTGGGTTAGTGTCGTCACAATCAACAGTAAGAATAAACCTTACTTGATATCTGCTTCTTTGTCTTTGGCTTATCAATTTGAGTTGAACCACTCAGGTTACTGATGCTCATGATTAATGAGCTGAAATCAAACGCAGATCTTTGCTGTCATTTTAAGGCTCGTGTCGTTTTTAACAGCTGCAGGAACGACATGACAGCAGGTGAGTGTGTCTATGAAGAGTCAGACGTGGCTGTACAACACCGAAAGTGCAGCTAGAAGAGAAGCAGAGCAAGCTCTATTAATTAATTCTCTTATTTAGGCACAAAATGTGCTTCCATCAGCAGTGAACTGAACCAGGGTTTGTTTGGAAGCGGACTAAGACCCGCGGGTTTTGCTGGTCTGCGGGCCAGCTGTTTGTCGCAGAAGCAAACTAAAGAGAAGATGTGACACAAGGTACAAACAAGGCAGGTAAAAGCACCCTTAGGGACTCATCAGGCACGCGCCGGCGTCTGCGTCATCTCAAACTGATGACATTTAATTAAGTTTAGTTAAACCTGCTACTGCGACGTTTTTATTTGCATGTCTCTATTACTGGTTATAATTTTACAAAATCATTTTTTCACATGTTTTTATGACTTAAAGTGACGTTACTGGCCCAGTACAAGCTGCTGCCTCCCCCTGAGAACCGGCCCGCGGACCACTAAAGGGTGCTTCACAGCCCACTAGTGGTTCACAGCCCACAGGTTGAGAAACCCTAAACTAGAAGACATATTGCTTGACGACATTATAAAATGTTTGTCTCAGCTCAGTAAAGTTACCTGAAATATACTGCAGTAAGTTTGTTTTGCATTCAGAAGTGGCCTTATGGACGTTTTCTACCTCTATGAAATGTTCAGAATTTGGTGGTTTTATGGTCACTTCAGAATCAAATGTTTCTTCTTCCACCTGTACCAGCTCTAAAAATGTGTTAAGACCCTGCAATGTTCA